AAACTTAAACATACTCCCCGGCCTTGAAAGAACATCTTTCAATAAACTAAAACTAATAGCGAGTGGACTGTATTACATTAATAGTACTGAGTTAATATAATCGTAAAATTTGTATCTTAGATTTTAATTAAAATAAACGCCGTATGAATGGCAGCTTCTAAATCTTAATGGTGTTTAACAATCTTCTATGGGTAACGGACAAAGTTTCGCGATGGTGATGCGCACGATGCCTGTAGACGTTTTCACGGTGGCCACCCGGACAATTTGGTCCCGACCAGGATGAACGGAAAGTATGCGTCCTAGCTTCCACTTGAATGTTGGCAGATTATCCTCTTTGATAAGGACCATGGTTCCTTCATGCAATGGTTTGAATGGTTTCCTCCATTTGGTGCGTTGTTGAAGCTCTCCTATGTACTCCTTGCTCCATCTTTTCCAAAAATGCTGCTGCAGTCCTTGAATAAGCTGCCACCTGGACAATCGAGATTCTGGCAAATGTGTGAGATCAGGGTCAGCCACCGCAGTCAAAGTCTTACCAATTAGAAAGTGAGCAGGAGTAAGTGGAATGAGATCGTTTGGATCGGAGGACACGGGTGTTAGTGGGCGCGAGTTTAGTATCGCCTCTATCTGCGTGAGTAATGTATAGAATTCTTCAAACGTTAAAGCTGAGTTACCTGCAACACGCCTTAGATGGTGCTTCGCAGATTTTATACCTGCTTCCCATAGTCCCCCGAAGTGAGGGGAGTATGCCGGTATAAAACGCCAATTAATGCCTACGTCATTAATGGATTCACTAAGATTATTTTGTTCTTTCATTAAGAACTGCGCTAACTCATTTAGCTCACGATTGGCACCGATGAAGTTTGTTCCGTTGTCTGAATATATGTAGGCAGGTTTGCCCCTTCTAGAAACGAAACGTCTGAGAGCCGCAATGAACGATTCCGACGTCATGTCAGAGATCAGCTCTAAATGTATCGCCTTCGTGGCGAAACAGACGAACAAGCCTACGTAGCATTTGCTCGTTTTGCTACCTCTGCCCTTTCTGTCTTTAATCAAAAATGGACCACCGTAATCCACGCCCGTTGCATGGAAGGGGCTGGTCATTGACACACGCGCCTTCGGTAACTCGCCCATCAATGCCCGTGTCAATTGCGGTTTGTTTTTAAAGCATTTTATGCAGTCGTGGACAACCTTTTTTGTAAGATTTCGGCCTCCAATTATCCAAAATTTTTCACGTATTGAGGCTAATAATGCTTGTGGGGCTGCATGCAGCAATCGCACATGCTCATCTATGAGAAGCAATTTCGTAAATCGATGCTTGGCTGACAGAACGATGGGATGTTTTTTATCATTTGAAAATTCTGAATTACCTAACCTTCCCCCCACCCGTAATAGACCGTCTTTGTCAACAAAGGGATGTAGGGAAATCAATTTATTGGATGAGACACATGTTTCTCTTTTTCGTACTTCGTCTGGAAAGCATTCCCGCTGAGCTAGTTTTACAAGTGTGTATAATGACTCTTTTAATTCTTCGGCATTAAGGAAATTGATCTTGTGCTGAGTTTTGTGCTTACAATTGTATAAAAAACGTTTGCAGTAGGCTATGACTCGAATAATACGTTTAGCGCTGGATGTGTTTTCAAATATAGAATTCTCAATTGACTGCACTTGTCTTGTCATGCCGCATGTTCTTTTTACCTCTGGAGGATCAGTCTCTG